AAAAAAGCTCTCTGGTGATAAGATCCTATAATAGAAAATATTGTACAATTATAATCTACGAGTTAGGCCATGTGTGTAAGTGCACACTTATACCTCTGGTACTCAGGATTCTGAGCCAGGAGTGGAAATTCGAGGCCAGCCAGGGATGCAAAGTAATAGTCTGTTCCCCAAACAGAAAGATCAATAGACAGACAGGCAGCAGTTCATTCTCTATATATTCATATACATATATGTATATACAAATTAGACAAAAAATAGAAATAACATTAACTAGATGCTTACCAAACTACAAGATAAGTCTATTATGAGGGTACAGAGTCACCATAAAACAAACCAGAGTTACTTAAACAGACCCCCTGGGTATATTTACTTATCAGTCAGAATCTGGAGAGATGGGGCATAATTCAGTGGTGAGGGGGAACCAAACACTAATGAGAGGACATTAGAAATCAACTCTCTGGGCAATCAACGCTATAGATCATTGTCTTGCATTTTCTTTAAATTAAAATAGGCATTATTTTGGTCCTCTGTGACCTTTACATGCATATCGGTTTGTCTGGATGTAGAAACAGGGAGCAGAGCAGACACTCCCCTGGAGGAGCCTTCTCCTGGGTGTCCTGGACTGTGCTATGGGCCCCTGTGCAGTTTGCTGCTAACACTCCATAAAGGTCTGACTTATTCAAGGACCCAGAGGAATAAAGGAGAAAGTCAGTGATGGTGAAGAGAACGAGATTCACAAGACTGAGGAACCAGAGGCAGAAGAGCAGAGGATGGGATATTGTAATATAGGGTCCATAAGGGTGGAAGGGATCTAGTGCTCAGTGCTCAGTGTGGTATGCACAGTGGCTGCAAACACGAGCAAACTTGTGGCCAGGAAGTGTGCTTTGAGTTCTTGGTGTTCCCTGAGATTTCTAGCAGGACACTGTTCCCCGCCCCCCCCCCACACACACACACCTTGTTTCCGAGGTAGGCCTCAGGAGCTTCCCAGTAGTACGTGGATCTCAGCCTCTGAATGACAGCCGTGTTGTTGATGCTGATTTGATGACGCCCACCCAGTGCATCCTGCTGAGACCGGATCATATTTGGGCTGATCAAGTCAGTGACCAGCCACCCTGACATATTGGTCACCTTTAGAAAAAAATTTAAAAACTTTAGAATATGGCATGAAGGTCATCTTAGATGCTATCCAGTCCTGTATAAATATCTTTTCAACAAGGGGAGAGAGAGAGAATGAGTTTATGCTCAAGACAGAGCTAACAGGGCTGTCATCACTGAAACACAATGAGAGACTTCCCACTAGTCAAAGAATGCAGGCAACCCACATCAGTTACACACAACTGAAGAGCACAACCATGCAGATCACAGTTACATAGTGTAGATATTTAATAAAAACAAACAGACTACTACAAATTCAATATCCCTCATCTACAAATGTCCCCAAATCCAGAATTCTTAGAGTCACAAATGGAAACCTGACCTCACTTGAGTCATAAAACAGGTGTACCCAAAACATGATGCAAAACCTGTAGTCAGACTATGTGGATAAGCTGTACATGAGATAAGACTGAATATATATATTCAAAAATGGAAATCCAAAATGCTTCTACTCCCCAGCATCTTAGCTGAGGGGTGTTCAATCTATAAATGTCATGACTAAAGTATCTTCCTATTTCTAATTATCCTTTCTTTATTAGTCCTGCTTTAGAGCCAAATGAAAAGTGTATAAAAACCTCAGACCTTGTCCTGCCAACTTGTCACTTGCCCAGGGGTGATGAGAGACCCTCCCCCGTCCCCTCAGCGTGGAGACCACAATGGTCAGTAGTTGGCTAAGCCCAGAGCCCAGTAGCCCCTCCCTAACCTCCAGGCATCACACATTGAACTTCCAACTCCTTGCCCCAGAGCGCCCCATACCCCACACCCTGCCTATCCTTACAATTCCAGGCCATCTGTGCTCATTCTACTCCCAGCACTGGAATGCCTCCCACTCCCAGCTTCTTTGAAATGAAAAATTCCCATGACCCCAAGTGTGTCCTACAGAAGAAATGGAAACAAGGGGTATTCTACAGCACCATTCCAGCCAATTATTTCGACTAGAAAATGTATATGAAAATAAACCCACGAATTAGAACGAAAACATGGCATCAATGCTTCTAGGAGTGGGCCGCCTTGGATCGGTGCCTTGGCTTCTCCGAATGGAAGAGAATGGCTTAGGGAAAGCTGGCTTTCTAATATGGCCACAGATGGCCTCCATGACCCAATTATTAACCAACTCGAGGTGTCTCCCACCTGACTAACGGACCACGTGAGGCTGTCACAGACATCAGAGACGCCAAAGCAGAAGCACTCAGAGCAGCCCTGGGGGTTTCTTTCCTGCAGGTTATAGAATCCCGGCTTGCAGCGATCACAATTCTCTCCTTCAACATTTTTCTGTAAGTTATATTAAAAGAAAAAAAAAAAGGATTAGCTGGTGAGGCCAATGTATCCAGAGAGACAGAAGAAAATGACATCAATAAGGAGAGGGCCACAAAACAAAAACAGGTAATAAATAGTCAGTTAAATGAATAGACACAGTACATGGGGAACCTCAGACAGTTGATATTTATGTATGAATGGAGAACCCACAACAACTGGTCTGATTCTGTGACCAAGAACGAGTGTCAGATGTTAGCGCTTGATCACCACATAATTTTGTTTTGTTTTAAATCTTTCATTAAATCAATGCTATTTGCTTATTTATTTATATTTGCATTTTGTTTGGTATTAGTTTTTTGTTTGTTGTTGTTTTTTAGACAGGGTCTACTCTGTAGCTCTGGATGGCTGGCCTCCACTTCTCAAGCCCCTCTAGGCACTGGGAACACAGGCATACACAACCATGCCTTGCTTGTACAAACATTTTAAGATTTAAAGAGGGCTATATGGTTATTTGTTTTACTTATAAATACCCCAGGCTTATTTTCACAGACTGAAGACTCTGCGTTCTTGGGAATAAGACATAAGGTACAAACAGGAAATCTCAAGAATTCCAGGGAAATGGTTATTAATATCCTATGGCCAAATAAGACCCTCCTCGGGCACCCCATGTACGCATTCCTATGATTACACAATTCTCACTCAGGAGAAATTCAAGATAACCGATCTCCATTTCATTAGCGTTCTGGGGAATCCAGTATTTACCTGGTTCTCCTCCAAACACAGAGCTGGAAGACAATGCCACAGAACTAAGCCAATGCCAAGGAAATGGCATGCAGCACTGGGTTTCATCTAAGAAGTCACAGAGGTGCCACAAAAGAGGATGCCAGGTGCCCGTCTAAATCCAAGGGCACCAGCTTGCTGTGACACGCCACTTCTACTTAAACCTCTCTGTTCTAAGCAAGACCTGATCATCTGAGCCAGGGGAATGAAGAACCCCAGAAGACACCCCAAGCTTCTCTGACTTCCACACTCACCTTACAAAGACACGGCTCCGAGCACGGGTCATCATTCACGCTGCCCACGGTACTGCAGTCACAGGGGATGCAGTTCGGGAAACCCCGGTAGCCAAACTGACAGCGATCACATTTGTCCCCAGCAAAACCTTCCTTACACGGACATTGACCTGGCCACTTCCCTGGGGGAGAAAACAGCACTGACTCAACACAGGGCTTAAAGCAGGGGCTGGCCAGTGCAAACTGCAACCTCCCTCCTTGAGCAGAATCTCGGGTAAAGCTAACTAAACAAGGCACTCTCCGAGCTCTCACGCAGCCCTGGACGACACATATGCAATGTCCCCAGCTCTCTCCGTTCAAATGAAACACCATGCAGATGGGCCAAAAGGCCACAGTTTGCTACAGTGCTGGTGTAAAGAGAGACATGGAGATTGAAACCCACAGGTAGAGCTACCATGGGATACTGCAACCCACTCCTGATCCCAGAGTAAAATAAAACACACACCCACGAAAGGAACTATGCGAACGCTCACAGCCCTGTTAGTCATAACAGCCAGAAGGTACAAATCAACCCAAGGTTTACCCACTAATGATGGGTGAGTGGGCATATCACAGCTGCAGTCAATGTTTTAAATTTGCTCAATAAATAGAAATATTAAGTTTTATATAGCCATTCATCAATTGATAAAGACTTAAATATATAAATTGTGATGTAGCCAAACAAATATTACTCATAATAGAAAGAACTGTAATAGTGACGCCCACACAACATGACCCTCCTGGAGCCAGAGGAAGAGAATGAGGTGGCCCCCCAAAGCCCCACATATCAGATGGCTCAATTTGCATGCATATGGGAGATAATAAATACTTGGTGAACAAAAGAATCAACACAGGGTCATCTCCTCAAACATCCCGGAAATAATTCCACCCAACACTGACAGTCCACATGTACACCCTGGATCCACTGCACATATAAAAACAGACCAAGTTCTTACCATGGGCTAAGTCAGAATGGAGGTCATCCTTGATACAGACAGAACTCAGGGACCCTACAGGGTCACAGTCACAGGGACGGCAAGGCTGGTCGTCATAAGGCGATACCTGAAAGGCAGAAGGTGTCCTGGATGACCTCACCAGGAATAACGGCATGATTTGAAATAATAATCACAATGTCAAGGTATCAGCTTCCTGTTGCAGGTGAGACTATTGCAGAGATTTTGTGTAAAGGAGGATGTAGGTGTCAGGAAGATAAAACGTCCCCAAGCAAGAGGCTCTAAACACCTTTTTGATGGGGACAGCAGTTAGTGTCACTAGCAAGGTGTCATCTTTTCTTGTTTCCACAGTTCCCCTTCCCTCTCTGCCATCTATAACTGCCAGAGTTGAGCATTGCCAATGAACCTACCAGTCAATGGAGGGTTGAGTGAGTGCATCTTATGCGCAAGGTGTGGACCCTTTAGTTATTAACCGAGTCTGTACATTTATAGCTAGAATTATCTTCAGTCATAGAGCTCGAAGGACCCTGATTCAAGTTAAATAATAATGCATGCATATTCCCACTTTGAGCAGGACAGCAAGCCACGGTCGGAGATAAAAATCTGAAAGAACACTCTTACGGTGAAGTATAAAGAAAGGAAAAGATCCTTCAGAATAGGGGTCAAGACTTAATGAGGTGTGTTTTCCACCCTGAAGGCAGTGGGGCTGGGCTGCAGGAAGAAGCACACTTACTTTGTGCGGTCTGTAATACCGATCGATGCAGGTCTCACAGTTGACCCCCGTGGTGTTCTGCAGGCAGTTGATGCAAACCCCTCCCCCACGGTACTGCCCAGCAGTGTTCAGACTCCTCTTCTCCTTTGCAACATTCTCGTCATAGTAACAGTCTTTGGCTTTATTGTGACAATTGCATTCTAGGAGAATATTTTAATATCGCAGTTAACACGCATAATGTGTCCTACCTAAAGAAAGCCTTTATTCCATGAAGTAAGTGTCTGTGCTTTACTACTCTAGCAGAAATAATGCCAGAAGATACAGGCAAAGGCTGGAGAGGTGGCTCAGGGGTTAAGAACACTGGCTGTTCCTCCAGAGGTTCAGGGTTCAGTTTCCAGCACCCACATGGTGGCTCACAACCATCCTTAACATCAGTCTCAGGGGATCCTGTGCCCTCTTCCGGCCTCCTTGGACAATAGGCATAGACTACATGCAAGCAAAACACCCATATGCATTAAATAAATAAATGCTTTTAAGGCAATATTCTAGAGGAAAAAAATGGGACTTGCTATCAAAATAATGAAATATATTGGGTGGGTGTGGCAGTGCACACTTGTAATCTCAGGGTTTAGAACCTGAAGTGGAACAGGGTCTGACATTAGCCTGAACTAGAGAAGCAGACCCTGTTTCCCCCTCAAAAAAGTGATATGGTAGGCTTGGAGTGAGGGTCTGCTTGTTTGGTAAATGTAGAGCCCAGGTTCAAAATTAAAAAAACAATTTTGGGGGCTGGAGAGGTGGCTCAGGTGTTAAGAGCACCGGCTGCTCTTCTAGGGGACCCAGATTCAACTCCCAATGCCCACACAGCAGATCACAACCATTTATAACCTCAGTTCTGGGGGATCTGATGCCCTCTTCTGGATTCTAGGTACACAAGGGATGCAGAGACATACAAGCAGGCAAAATACACATAGACATATGGAAAAAGCTAAATAAAAAAAATACATAATGGCTAAAAGAGAGCAATTCTGTTGAATGGTATGCATTATTATGTCATTTTCCACGTAAGAAACATTGAAAATAGGAATGTATTCATATAGAACATTCTTAGGGGAAAAAAAAAAAAAAAACATGCCAAGAAGTAAAAAGTGGGAAGGAGGGAGATAAAGTAAAATATTGTTTGTTTTTTAATTTAACCTTTATTTACTATTTGTATGTGTGTGTTTTAGAGGATTTGGGGGGCGGCCCGTGCAGGCCATAGTTGCATGTGGAGATCAAAACACAGCAAAAAGGGAGTTGGTCCCTGCCATCCACCACATGGATCCCAGTGCTCAAACTCAGGTCACTGGGTTTGGTGGCAAGTGCCTTTACCTGCGGAGCTAGCTAACGCACTGGCCCAAGTGACAACGGCTGGAGATGTAACTCATGGGAGGGCATTTCCTAGCATGGTGAACTCATATAGGTTCAATTTCCAGTGCCATAACTAAGTAATTAATTTCAACTTCAAACTTGCAGCCCATAAACAAACACATGGGCAAAGTAACTTAAGTAGAAACGTGAATCCATAAGGATACACCCGTAGCCCTTAAATGTCACCAAGGTGATACGCAGCTTTGGGCAGTATTTGAAATTCTAAAAATATCAAGTTATCTAATCATCATAATAATCAAGATGCGACAGGATGTGGTGGCGCACACCTTTAATCCCAGCACTCACTCGGGAGGCAGAGCCAGGTGGATCTCTGTGAGTTTGAGGCCAGCCTGGGCTACCAAGTGAGCTCCAGGAAAGGCGCAAAGCTACACAAAGAAACCCTGTCTCGAAAAAAAAAAAAATAATAATAATCAAGATGCTATAAGCTTAAGCATGCAAAGCAGGAGTCTTGCCTCTCTACGCTGTGAGTCTACTCACCCTCACATTCGTTCCCCGATGAAATGGTTCCAGGTCTCCAGGGCTGCTGATGGTAGCCAGGACAGCATCTGTCACAGCTCTCACCACATGTATTATGTTCACACTGACATTGCAGTTGCTGAGCAAAACAAGGACACAAAATGAAAGCTAAAAACTTGTATTTTTTCTTAATTTTATTTAAGGGAAAAAAAGTGATCGTGTGAAGACAGTATGTGGTCACTCTTTACAGGGAGGCATCTGGGACTGTATCAAACAAGTAGGCATTTAACTTCTGGAGAAGATACACACATAACCTGACTACAAACACAACTAAGGTATGGGTTAATGGGCAAGAATGTTTTTTTAAAAGGATGCGTTGGGAGTCCGTGTCAACAGTCTGACTAGATAGTTATTAAGAGATTTTATCATCATTTGCTTGATGATTTTCTGATGTTTACCAATATATTTTTCAGCATCAAAAACAGAATAATTATTATTCTATACTGAGGTTTCAGTAACTATAAAACACTAGAACTAACCTTTGTTTCTTCATCCCACGGGCAGCTGCTAGCGTGGCCATAGCAAATGCACATCCCTCCAACGGAAATGTCTTTGATCGAATAGTAATACTGAGAAAAAGGGGCGTTACAAACAGAAGTGAGAACCCCTTTTACTTTGGCGCAAGGAAAACGATGGCACCCCACAAACACCAGCTGGGCTCAGGAGTGACTTATGGAACTCTAAATTAAGTACATGTGCATTTGAAAATGTTACTTCACACACAAAGAACCTTGGTGCTTAGTTCAAACCAAGAATGCTCAAGTCCGCTCATCAACAGAACCTAGGAGAGTCTAAAAGAATTTTCCAACATGGTTTGGCCTTTAGCCAAAACAGTCCTCTTCACAACTCACGCTGCTCAATTTCCTAGGACTACTGAGGTGAGCACAAGGTGCACAGGAAGGCAGATACATCATCATCAAGATGGAGAGTCTCAGAGGCACTCGAGCTGTGTCTTTCCTTTGACGTCACTTTGCGTCGTTGCCTCATACTTTTGTGTCTTCCTGTTAACACATTTTCTATCTTTATTTTCCAATGCTCGCTGCCATTATATAGAAACGTGCTTTACTTTTATTGGTTGATTTGGCATGACTACCTTGCTAACCTCAGTGGCTATTCTAGTACTTGTTTTGTATGTCATCTTTGTGCATGATCATGCCAGCATCGAATGATGCACATTCACTCCTGCACACACATACCACATGTCTCTGTTTTCTTCTTGCATCTCTGAGTAACAGCTTTACTAACAAACGATAAAATATCATCAAGGGGACTTAAGGCAGAGCCACCTAAGTGCAGACAGTACCATTAAGTCTATGGGTTGGATGACTCAATATTGTTTAAATGTCTTCCAAAATTCTTCCCATATTGATCCAAAGAATGGAATCTTAATGAAAATCTTAGCCAGCATTTTTTATCTCTGGGTAGAAATAAACTGTTGTTGGTTTGTTTTATTTATTTATTTATTTTACTCTCTACTCTTTGGGGCCCACGACCCAGCTCCCAAATAATCACATCAAGAGAGACTTATTCTTTCTTATGAATGCCTGACCTTAGTTTGGCTTGTTTCTAGCCAGCTTTTCTTAACTTAAATTATCCCGTCTACCTTTTGCCTCTGGGTTTTTACCTTTCTCTATTCTATATGCCTTTCTTTATGTCTTACTCTGTAGTGAGTGGCTGGCACCTGGCATTCTCTCTCCCCCTTTTCTTCCTCCTCCCTCTCTTTTTCTCCTTCTATTTATCCTCTCTGCCTGCCAGCCCCACCTATCCCTTCCCCTGCCTAGCTATTTATTGGCTGTTCAGCTCTTTATTAGACCATCAGGTGTTTTAGACAGGCAAAGTAACACAACTTCACAGAGTTAAACAAGTGCAACATAAAAGAATGCAACACATCTTTGCATCATTTAACAAATGTTCCACAGCATAAATGGATGTAACACATCTTAAACTAATATTCCACAACAACTAACTGATTCTAATATTTTTAAAGCTAATATAGGGGGTGCTAAATAGTTACATTTAAGAGTACTTCCTGCTCTCCCAGAGGACCAGACTTCAGCTCTTAGTGTCCATGCTGGGCAATCCACAAATGCCTATAACTCCAGCTCTAGTGGATACAATACCTGTTCTTGGCCTCTGAGGGCACACGTACACAAAGAATATGTTTACACAGAAACACAAAAAGTACATACAAAAAATAAAGATTTAAAATTGAATTCAAGGAATCTACAACAGCCTAAGCAATCTGGACTCTGTAGCACCTGACCATGAGATTTAGATAACGCTGTAGTAACTAAATTCTTGTTATTGGCATGATGATAGACCACTGGATTGATGGGTTGACAGACTCAGAATAACAAAGTCAGATGGTACCCAGCAAGAACATACAAAAGTCAATTATGTCTGGAGTGATGACATTTCCTGGAGGAACCTTGAGTCCAAATTCACACCGAACACAAAAGTTCATTTGGGGTGGATTATCAATGCTAAAGCCAGAACTATAAAGCTGCTAGAAGAAAGGATAAAATAACATCTTTGGAAACCCAGCAAAACAAGTATTTTTTTTGAAAGAATACAGAAAGTATTAAAAATAAAACAGAACCAAAAATATGGTAAGATGGATTTCACCAAAAATGAAATCTCTGTTCATCAAAAGTTATAGTTTCAAAAGTTAACAGAAAAATTCAATGAGATGATATGCATAATATGGTCTGAACAAAAAAATACATGAAAATGGACCAAAAAAAACCCAAAAAAAGTCAGCTTAACAGGCTCACCCTGGTCATCAGAGAAATACAAATAAACACTACCAGGAGGAGCCACAGAGTGCTATCCCAACGTTTCAACAGCCCCCAGGGCCTGATTGACAACTCTGGATATTTGTTGTGTGATTGGCCCAGGGCTCGCCAATGTTGCTGGTCTGACTAAAATGTGGCATGGGCTTTTAAACAAGTTCAGCTGAGTTACACATATAACTGTCCCACAACCTAGTAATTTACTCCAAAGAGGTGCGAGAGACATAAAAATGTTTGTTGACACGCCTTTTATACTCAATCATACATTAAAATCTATATGTTTTCTTGAATATTTCTCAACTTTTATCACTTCAAATTAAAAAAAAAATAAAATGCCAGAGTTGCTAAAGCTTGGATGTGGAACCAGACTAGGATCTTTAGGACAAAGGCCATTACATTCTCTAGGTGACCACACTATGGGGACAGGTAGGAGGGAGCAGGAAGGCCTGAGGAATGGCTGCTGGGGCCATCACCTACAAGGCTTTGCAACAAAGGACAGGTGGCAGTCATTAGTAAAACAAGGATGGTTGGGAAGGCAAAAAGCCAACCAAAAGGAAACAAAGAAAAAAATATGCCCTGAAACAAGCCCTTCCCAGTGGTGAGGGACACACCCCATACTCACACGTCTGGTGACAATAGGGTCAAGGTCTCTGAGGTCCCGATGGCTGAGGGTCATGAGATCCGCATTGAGTGTTCTGATGCGCTGCAGACGGAGCCGTATGTACCGTGCTGAGGTGAATTCCAGCAACTTGGGCGAGGGGTCGTCAGCGCTTGGTCTGCCATTGATGAGTGATGTGTGAATCTGGACACAGCCAAAAGCACATGTCAGTTCTGCCCAATATCATACACGAGGCATGCTGGTTAACTGCATCAGAGTCTTTACAAAGGTAAATCTAAAAGCTAGTTTCTATATAGGAAAACAAAACAAACAAACAAACACAAAACACCCCATCTAACATACGTTAGGTACTCATAAGCAGTGACCCTCATTTTGTCTCAGTTTGTGGGTTACCCACTCTACTACCTCAGAGATGTCTGTCACTCTTTCAGCCATGCCCTTCCCCCTGCATCGTGAGGGTCTTTGAAGACCTACCATTATGCTACAGCAAATGCCCAATGCCATGAACAGGCTAGAGAGGGTAAGAAAAATGTGCCTCAAACCGTAAGGATGCCGCTGTCTTAGTCCACTCTACAGCGTCATGCCCAGCTGCCGCCACAGAGAGCATGTGGGAGTTTTACAGTGTTCGCTCATCAAGCAAGGTGCTAGTGAAGAACGGACGGGTTCTATTTCACTCTGAGTTGAACAAAGCGTAGACTGAGCACCTAAGTCACGGGCAGCCCCATCCTCCAAACCCCTGAACAGGAGGGAGAACGAGGAACTCTACCTTTCAGAAGTACCTCTGCCCTCTTCTTTTCATCTACTGTATTGAAGACAAAGTCTGGCTATGTATCCCTCCAACTCATGATCCTCCTGCCTCAGCCTCTAGAGAGCTAGAATTACACTTCTATGCCACCTCGCCTGGCTTCTCTTTAATACAACACATATTCTTGCCCTGATCTTAAGGAAAGAGTCTGTCGGGGGTAGGGAACTATTGGGGCTGTTCAAATACAGCAGAGTGAAAACTGAGGGAATTGCATGCTGGGAAGAAATCAACCAGATAAAACAGGCACCGTCAAGGCTACTTTAAACAGGGAGGTAGCCACATGCACACCTTTAGATTAAGGGTGATTGATTTTGAATGTCTGACATAGGCTTCCATGAGGGATAACACAGTACCATTTGAGGCCGGGGCCTCTGATGACAAGAAGCCATTTCTGCAATGGACACAGTACCTCTCCATGCTCAAGTGGCACCAGTTTAGAATAATAGGAGGTGCAGATCACTTCGTTGTCGGCCCTGTAAGTGGGAGGTCCCCGTCTTGGAGTGATTTTGTAGCGTGTCAAACACTCGGTATCACTGACTGCATAGTACTGCCAGGGTTTGAACTTGATGCCATCCACAGATCGCTCCAAAATCCAGTTTCCAGGTCGAGGAGCATTGGCGGCTTTGATGATGATATATGCAACTTGAAAGACCTGAAACAAAGACACTAGAAAATCTCAATCTGGAATTAATAAGTCAAACACGAGACAACAAACTCTACAGGAACTTGCTCGTGTGTGAACCCAAAATGGCCCAACTCACAGACACAGTGTAGAGCTCTGGAGTTTCCAGGGGCTGGAAGAAGGACAAGGGACAGATGCTAGGTACAGATTTTAGTTGTGCAGGACAGACAAGATGTGCAGGTTCAAAGTATAACAGTGTTACTATGGTAACAATCCCGGACTCTGTTGGAATTTACTAAACAGAGAGACCTGTGTTCGTTCTCTCTCTCTCTCTCTCTCTCTCTCTCTCTCTCTCTCTCTCTCTCTCTCTCACACACACACACACACACACTGAGATGATAATGCTGGAGTTGCCGATATATTGTGGTTATTTCATGGTGTGCATGTGCAACAAATAATTATGCTGTACACATGAAATGTATAAAATATTAAACAGAATCAGCACTTGCAAATGCTCAAAGGCCAGAGTGTTCCTGGAGAGCATCATCACACGATTGCGTCTTTCTATGCTTTTCAGTACAACTGTTCACACCTGGCAAGGAGAAGCATGTACTCTCGGTGGTATTGTTTTCAAAATAAACAACAACAAAAACAACACACATGCTCAATTCTTCTCACTCTCGGTGTTAGTACTAATACGGGATTGCTCCACTGTTTCTGGGTCTTCCTGTTTGGATCTGACAACGGCAGTGTTACTTTACATTATTGATAACGTTAAATATGTTTCTTGTAGTGATTTGGAGAGAACATTGAATGTGAGAAACATAGCTCATCACAGTCTACTAGAATGGCTAAAATCCAAAGCACAGACAGTACCAAATGCTGGCCAAGATGTGGAGCGACAGGAAGACATGAGACGCCAGTGCCACAGTTTCGTATGAAATTATAAGTACCCTCTGTGTGAACCAATAACCGTGCTTATTGATAATTACCCAAACGAAAACTTGAAAAGACAACTCCAACTCAGCCAGGCGGTGGTGGCACACGCCTTTAATCCCAGTACTCGGGAGGCAGAGGCAGGTGGGTCTCTGTGAGTTCGAGGCCAGCCTGGTCTACAAAGTGAGTTCCAGGAAAGGCGCAAAGCTACACAAAGAAACCCTGTCTCGAAAAATCAAAAAAAAAACAAAACAAAACAAACCAAAACAAAACAAAACAACCCCCCCCAAAAAAACAAAACAAAAACAAAAAAAATAACTGTCCAAACTCAGACGCAATAAAAAGTGTTTCTATAAGTAAATGGTGTACCCAAATGGCATGCCAATCAGTGGAGAGACACATAAATTATACAGTGGCAAAAAAGACAGGAAGGGGAGTTATAGGCACACCGCTAACTGAAAGAAGTCACTCTGAAGAGGCAGCATGCTGCAGGGTTTTCGCTGTAGGCTATTCTGGAAAAGGTAAGACTATGGAGGCAGTGAAGAGACCAGAGGTTGTCTAGGACCCAGGGGAGGAAGAGATATGAAATGACCCTCTGTGGTCCATCACTGTGGACACATGCCATTATACTGTGGTCAAAACATGCAGAACACGCACAACTTAGTAAACTACAGGCTCCCTTGATAAAAACATCAGTGGATGTGGTGGATGAACATAGGACCATTGGGTGTGCAAACGCCCCACACTAATTCAGGATGATAACTGAAGAACTCCAGGTGAAAGAGTGAGGAATTATGAACTGTGCACTCTCTATTCACCCTGCTATGACCCTAAAACTGTGCGAGCTACTAGTTAGAAAACAATGCCATCAACCAGGGAAGATGCGCACGGGAGGAAGGCTGATGTGGGATGCAGGAAGTGGCCAGATGAAAGTCAGATTTGAACAGGCTTTTTTTTTTTTCTTTTTTTCTTTATCTCTAGCTCCAGATGCAGCACAAATGAGGCACCATCTCTCCACGGCCCAGCACCACTCCAGGCATTTCCAGCCACAACTCACTCACTCGTCTGAGATGGGGTTTTGCTTTCCGACAACTCCTGTTTTCATGTTGATTCAAAAATCTGTCAAATCCTATGCTAGGGTTAGTGAGAGGATGCCAGATTGTATGGTCATGTGACCCTTCATCAACTATTCAA